TCACATACACAAGACTCCTTCTCGGCAATTTGGCAGAAGTGTCTTGCCTAAGGACACAACAACAGTGGCACTTTACAGCCGCAGCTGCTCCACTGTGGCACCCGGTGTTCCCAGAGGTCTTCCATCACAGTTCTAACCAGGCCCTGTCCTGCTTAGCTTCAGAGGACTTTTATTTTTGTATCGCCCTAAATCACAGCAGTCTCAGAGGACTTCACAAAGCCGTCAATTCGCCAACAACAGATGAGAGAAATGCATCGATAACAAACACATTGGTCCCATAGATGACCACTCTCCATAAATGTTAGTATATGTCCATAAATGTCCCGGATCATCGCTGTCCTTCGACCCTCCTGCGTCAAAGAAAGACTCCTTGTGGAAAAACACAATCCGAGTGTGTGTGAAATGTTCCCTGACAATGGCAATAGATGTCTTTTTCTGATTCTATGCTCTCAAAGTGCTTTCTCCTTAAGGTAATTGAATCCCTTTTGTATCCATTTCTTAAGTCAATACATTTTGCATTGACTAAACTTGGCACTGAATAATTGACTGTCGAGCTGGGCCAAAAATCAAAAGCTTGCAATCTCAAATTTGGTGGATTGGGATTATGGACACCTGGGATATAATGTAAAGACACCATTCATGTGGCAGTAACAGAGAGAAAATAAATAAATTAGGAACAGGCAGCAGAGCAGAGTTTGAGCCCTAGTCTCTCATGGTCTAAGTATTATTATCACAGTTTGCTATAGAAATGTTTTATTTTTTGCTTTTCTTTGAAGTAAACAAACATATCAATCAGAAATCAAGCTTGGCCATAATTCACAGTATACTAAAGCAAAACACTTGAACTACAGAAGTACAGTCGTTACTCAAAGTCCCTGAGTAATTTCCTTGAGTGGTCAGAACATGTGGCTCACCCCTGACCTGCTGTTCCCGTTCAGATGAGTGACTTTATTCTTATTTACAGTTGGAATACTTGAGAGGATGGCTTGCCAATCATAAGCCTTACATTTCATCTTCAAAGCCAGTTTCCTTATTGCTATGCGGCGTACACTTCCTGTCCCGCAGAGACTGGACAAAACCGCTGATGGGACAGGTGCTGGAGGAGGCGGTCGGGCAGAATACAAAAAGAGGCCGAGGGCAAAGTGCGAAGCTTACATTTTCTTTCATACGATTTGTAGCTTGACTGAATTTACCGGTTATCTGTTCTTTAAAGCACACATAAGGAACCCCACTTTTTTCTCATTCGTTTTGTTCCAACAGAAGAGTCCTGTAATAAATGTTTTTGTTTTTTTAAACGTTTTTTTGTGGTTTAAAGCCAGGAACCCCAGCTTTAAATCATAGAGTGTTGTCTTATTTAGGAAGAGAAATGAAGAGAATAATGAGGTGTTGTTGGTTTTCAGCATAAAATGACAATATTCAGTCTCTCCGGCCTCACAACCAGAAAACCCAACTCAAAAAATATACTTTTTACACTTTTCATGTTTAAAGTAGTGCTGCATCAGTCACAATCATATTAAAACTGCAATTTTAGAGGCAAACAAAAAGGCAAAAACTGCAATTATATAGAATACATAATTTTCTTGACAGGGGGCAAATAACCTTGTTGGAAATTATAAATCCTGGCTGCCCCTGAGTTTCGAGCTCTAAAACAGGCTTAGAAACACAAGGGCTAATAAGAGATTGCAGAGGTAGTATTATTTTGAGTGCATTTCGAATGTTTTATCTGCTAATGGAAAAGGCAAGTCCAGTCTTCACCAACTGTTTTTAACATTTTAGGCACAGTGGGAATTTTTTTTTCATTTCAACAGTGAAAACATCAAATACATCTTTTTAGCTTTCATTTTTCCTTAAAATTGAAATTCTCCTGGTGCACTTTGAACATTATCCTATCTTCATAACAAGAATCACCATCAGATATTTCTTTAACACCCTTTGAATGACCTTCACAGGTAAAGCTGGGATGTTGCAGATTTGCAACATTGGCCTGCTGTGGTAAATAGGACAATCCCAAAGGACTTCATCCATATCTATAATCATATCTATTCATATTCATCTTTCATTTTAAGCATTTTTGGTTCAAATTATTAAGAGGTTGATCGTGATACTGACTTGAAATTGACGCCTAAGCTCTGTTCTCTAGGGAGCAGGGGAAAAACTGTTTCTAAAACTCAACCAAGTCCACCTCAGAGTAAAAAAGGGTCAAAAATTATGTATGGTGAGTAGTTAAGTAATAAGAAATGAAGTTGTTGCAAATCTACAACGCCTGACTGGAGAGGGTTAAAATCATGCAGGCCTAGTTCAGAGTAAAAAATGTGCTGTATTTCCCTGAAGCATCTCTCCACATCCTCCTCCATGCACTGTCCTCTTGGCATCGGAGTGGCTGAGCTGTTGTATTGGTGCACTGGCTCCATCCATCACCGAGCAGTGGGACCCTGACTGACTGAGAGACGGCCTGGAGACTTGGCTGGCCTCAGATCAGCCGCAGATGCTGCACATTTCACCCATGCCAACGGTTATAAGTGGGTCTGTAGAAAACGTCGCAAGATTGCATTGATGTGAAGCCGCAAAGGCCAGACACAGACGTCAATAAGGACTTCTTGGATGTGATTGATCGTTGACGTTGTTGTGGCGGCTGTGAAATGATCTGAGGGCTGATTTATGACAGTTCCCCTCCTTCCATTGACACTGCTGCGCTTTTGAACTTGAAGCTGTGTAAAGGTTTGGCTAGAGGCTGTCCTGTGTTGTCAAAAGAAAAGCAGCAATTTTGGGAAGAGAGCTATCCCCTGGGAACACCTGAGAGCTGCGTGGTGGCCAGGCTATTTCGGGAATAGTACGGTATTACGAGAATCAACTGTCTGACAGAAATAACGAACGCTTTAGAAGAGCTTCTATAAACCAACACAACAGGGGGGAAAATCACTATTTTTCAATTTAATTTAATTCAATGTATTCTTTTATAGGCCTGAATCAGTATTTATCTCGGAGGACTTAACAAAACCACCAGCCAACACAGATCAGAATCAGCTACTAGAAAAAGGCAAACTTAATCACAATATCTGTCTTACCTAAAGTATCTCTCTTGTTCGGGAGGTTACAGTCACACGAGAAGTTGTTGTGTACGTAATAGTTGCAGCCATAATTCAAAGAAATGGGAATTGTGAATCGATTCATTGAAGCTACAGAACTTGCAGGACTAAAAGCCACTACTTTTTTCAAGTTCTTTGAAAGCAGCGACTCATATAGCGACGCAGCCAAAGTATATTTGTGTTAATGTCCCCTGGTCTAGAATATAAGTATTAATCTTGTTACTATTATTTTGGCTGCATCAAGTTTTAGTATGGGAAGCAAATTAAATCTTATCAAAATAGACGGAATTCACCAGAGTACTTTGATCATAACAGTAATAACGGGCGTCTATCGGGTTTGTTTGGGTCCATCAGCTGCTGCTACGGGCTACATTACAACGAAAACACCTGCGGCCTATATTCAAGTGTGGTCTATATGTCTACAAAATTCATTATCTTTTAGCGCGTTTTTTACAGGTGTGTTTGATAGTCCAAAAAGTCCTGTGATCAATCATTGAAATAATAAATTGGTTTTTGAACCTTACATAGACATAAACATGCTCAGAAGAGGTTCTATGACTTCAATATTTCTATAATGACTGCAGAATTACTTTTTAACGCTATGAAACATCTCAGTCTGGTCAAATCTCCTCTCATTACTGTTAAGCCCACTTTCATTTAGAGCTGTTTTTTCTTTGGGTGAAAGTATATTTCAATTTCTTCCTAGATTCCGATTGACTCTTCTACCCAGCCCAGCACCAATATCTCAACCTAGCTCCATACTTTTGTCCATGTTTGCAAAGTATTTTTTAATCAAACAACCCAATGTATAAGTCGTTCTATGGGACGTCTCTTCAGCTTTGTTATGGTCTGAAAATAATCCCTAATTGACTGACCTTTTGGGGTGTTGGAATCAATTAATTAGAAGAATAATCAACCTAATGGCTGTTAAAATCAGTGAGGCTGGAGGAGAGTGTGTTTTTGAGTGCGACTTTGGGACTACATTAAGAAATGAGCGACAATATGATGTATTTACAGTTACTGCTGATAAAAATACAATATCCCATCCAAATAGACCGATAAATAAGCCCTTGTATGAACCATTATGTACAGCCATTCAAATGTCTATTCTGACGAGTGTTTTGGGGTATTTATACAGACATAGCCACCAAAATTTTCCTCATGCTGTATCATATGTGGATGTACTTTTGTGGAGCTCTTGGCTGTCACTCCATTCTCCATGTGTCACATTCACTGACTCTACCAGGAGCACACTTCAAACAGACCCCACGTGTAGCAGTCATTCACAAACCAAAGCTGAAGTCAACCCAACCCAGAGAGAAAGGGGGAAAGCAGCAACAGTCTGACTCAGCTTTTGAATAAGAACAATATGAACTTCCTGATATAGGTTTTCTCACATATGAATCAGCAATGAGTCAAAATAGGTGTGATTATGAGGTAGCACATAAGCCACAATAGACTATATGTAGATGGGAAAAGGGGCCAATGTTGTTACAAATACAATACTGTAATATTAAAACAATAGTAGAGAATGTGTGTTTTAAATCTACTTATTTCTACATGAGAATGATTGTAAATAACGTAGAACAGTGCTGACCTTGCCCTAGTTTAGATCTGATTGCAGATAGTAGGGCTCATACTCCTATGGGGATAGCCACCAAATGCCTGTGTACTTACTCCAATATTAAGCATTTATGAGCCGTAAGAAGGTAGTTCATGGAGAAAACTGCGGCGATACAGCGGCCTGGGGTGGGTTCCACGTGAAATGTATTATAATTCCTTTGTTTCTGACAGATCGGAGTGAGAATCAGACACACGCAGACGAGCAGCAGTCTCGGCCCACCTTTATCTGCTCTACATCCACATTTTTCTCTTAACAAACGAAATATATAACTGTGTACTATAGGCGTTTACCTGTCAAACCACGCGTCTGGTTCTACGTCCTGGTTGCTTTCCCAACGCCCAAAAATCAGGCCCTGGAGGTAAAGAAATCACGAGTTATTCCGAACGGGACCAATCCGCCTCCCCATCTGATCCATCCAGCAGCAGGGCAAGTGTGCACAGATTTGCAGCCCAAGTTCAGTCGCGTCTCTGCGTCCTAAGGGATGGAAAAGGCGGCAGAAAAGGCAGATATTCTATCCATTAGAAGACTAACACATTCATCTGAGGGTTGCATGATAGAGATCGCGATAAAGTATCCACACGTCTGTCAGAGCCGCTACTTCCTACTCTTACTACGAAACTTGCGCCTACCCCCACACGGGAAACATGGCGGCCTGCGTTATGGTTCGGGACTGTCTGTGGACCGTCCAGACCAGACCTCACAGCTGGAGGAAGACCCCGGGCATGGAGCACTGCACGAAGCCGCAGGGAGGACACAGAGGCCGGGGTGGGATGAGTGGGTTTGTGGAGGAAAGACGGGCTGGTTGTAGAATAACGTCAGACATGATAAGAATACAAGAGAAGCTGCTTTCAAGAAACAATGTCAGCGTTTGCATCTGTGCGTTGATCTGTGGCGCCATCTAGTGGGAGAACTGCGTCACTACACTGCATTCTTTGATTTTTTTTGCAGCCTAAAAATACATTAATAATACCTTATAATAGATCCATGAATAATACACATAGATGGCAAGTAACTATGTGTTTTACTTAATGCTGGGGTGCCTAGCTTTATTTGTTCATAATGAATATATTTGTTTGTCACAATAAAAAACGTTTTGATGTTTAGAGCCTTGTGAGTCTCTATTTGACTAAATGTGTCAGGGAAGTGCTATCTTTTTAAATTTTCAATCTATAAGACGTGACAGAAACTTCTTTTAAAAAATATATATGTAAATTTAAAAACATGCATGCACAAACTAGAATTAAAACCAAACTGATTCAAGAGATAGGAGCATTGTTTTTTCCCCACATAGTTACATTTATTGTGGTTTAAATCTTACGTACCCCAGCTTTAAGCTATATCCCCTGGTATCAATATCTTACCAATTTTACTTCGCACTTTTAAACCCAACTATCTTTACTTTCTACTCCTCACATACAGTATGTTTTGACATTATTTTCCGTTTATACTTGTATTGAACCAATGGACTGTAAATAGTAAGAAGGCTGCGTACTGATTTACAGATACATGTTTATGACAAATGACTAATTATTATTACTCTTACTAATATAGTTGTTTAACAGTATTGTATAATTGTTCTAAAAAATTGTGTGGTTGTGTCCCCAGACCATGGTTGCACATATTAAGTTACACACCTCCATTGTGTATTGACTCCCATTCATTTAAATAAGGAAAGACAGTGGAGTGGACAGTATGATGTTACACCTGGGGAGGGTCCGAGGGCACATAAAAAGGTGAATCAGGCCGCATGTAGCCCCCAGGCCGCAGTTTGCCCAGATCCAAGCTGTACTTTTACCATAAGACTTACAACCCTGATAATACGTGTCTTTAAAGCTGAGAAGTCCACATTGCTATTGTCATCATTTCAAAGGCTTCTCTCCTCTTCTACTGTAGCTTCTTTCCCAAGGACACACATTGACTGTACTAATGCTTCACATTCTCAGTTTGGAAGCGATGCAAGTCTCTTATGAGCCAAATGCTGCACAGGATGAGGAGGCAGTGTTCTCTGTTACAATGTCATGTCTGTGTGAACACCGGGACAGAAGCCAGACTCACTGCACAACATGTTTTTCACAACATATACTGGTCACCATGAGGAGTCTGACACACAAACAATACACTGCACTTTTGTCCATTGTAGTTTATTTTAGTGCTGCTACAACAACAACAAAACAAATGTTATCATGTATTTTGGCATACTAAGGGGAGCGTTGACCCAGATGTCTGTCAGAATTTCACTCCAATCAGTTCACTGCCTAGGAAAGACACTTCATTCACTAATGGGGTAGTGGTAGTTGTTAATACATGGAAAGCTGAATAGAAAATAGTCTGCTTCAGGGCATCTGCGGCTCCAAATCACCAAGGATCTGTAAAGAATAGGAGATTACAGAAAGGTGCTTTGAAAGGCTTTCTCAAGAGTGTATAGAGCCTAACACAAGTAGAATGTCTTATTAATAATAATCTATGTATATTAAAAAACTACCAAGGATTTATTTTGCTTGTTCTTACTGCTTCAGTGTCTGTAAAATCCTTTTGGTGATGAATTAAACCAGAGCAGCAGCACAGATGCTTAAATCAAACAAAGGGAAAATCAAACACATTTTACTGTTGGATATTCTGGGCTGTGGTCTGAGAAAACAGACAGTAGCTTGGTAGAGAATTGACCTTTGAGCCAGAAGGTTGTGGTTTCGAGCCCACCACAAGACTTTCTCCACCGACTTCTGCTGTCGTTGTGTCCTTGGCAAGACACTTAACCTCTGGGAACACCAGGTGCCACAGTGGGGCGGCTGCAGCTGTAAAGTGCTAAACTGCCGTTGTGTCCTTAGGCAAGACACTTCACCCCCATTGCCTGGAATGAGTCTGGTGTGTGTGTGTGAACGGTTGGTGGTGGTTGGAGGGGCTTTTGGCACATACTGGTTGCCTCGCTTCTGTCAGTGTGCCCCAAGGCAGCTGTGGCTACAGTAATAGTTTATCACCACCGTGTATGGAGTGAAAGAATAATACCAGCGCCATTCTAACTTAGACTCTGACCGGGATTCAAACCAAGACCTTTTTTGTTGAGTAGTGAAAGTGTTAACTACTGCTGCCTTTTGCTGGATAAAAAGTTGTAGTTTCTGTGTGAGATCCCCGCAGTGAAACTACAGAAAAGTGCTTTATCTGTATCTATTTGAAAGAAAATGTAAGTTATTAATTTGCATTGAGGTTGACTAACACACTCCCAACTGATTCTGGAATAGTTATCAAACAGTGTTATGATAATTTTTTAACTGAAACTACGATATATCCATTTGTATGTGGATTGGAGAGTTATAAAAAAGAGAAAAGAACTAAATAAACACTACAAATGTGTTGTGTTCTATGCTTATGCCGCTAGAGGGCGCAGCTACTCTATACGATGCTATGCACTGCCGAAGAAGAGAGAGTTTAAATAATGCGTTGATGTTGAACTGACTGCTGTAAACCTGCTCTGAAAAGTTCCTATATAAATCTACAAGTGATTTAAGATACTATGGGCTTCTTCATTCATACTACTACACCACAAATTGGCGACGAGTGAACCTACGTGCGTTTTTTTCACTACTCTTTTTTGTTTTGCTTCGAAGAAGTTGCTGCTATGGCTGGTAACGTACCACCGCCGCCTGCTTTTTTGCCGAGTCCGGGAGAGCCGACTATGCCGTTCGAGATGTGGATGCGGATGTTCAACAACTACTTGCTGGTAATAAATGCAACTGGAAATTCATGGCCAGAAGGGCGCAAAAGAGCTACTTTACTCCACTGCTTGGGAACCGAAGGACAGCGTTTGTTCTACTCTTTACCAGAGACGGGTGATACTATCGCGTCAGCCGTTACTGCTTTAGAAAAATACTTTACTCCAAAAGTAAATGTCGTTGTGGAAAGACATTTATTTCGAAAAAGAAAACAAGCACCTCATGAAACAATCGTACAATATGTGGCTGCTTTACGTGATCTCGCTTCAAGATGCAATTTTGAGGACAAAATGGATGAAATGATACGTGACCAGCTGATTGAACACGTTACTGCCTCCCGCATCAGAGAAAGACTTTTGCTTGAACCTGATTTGTCTCTGGATAAAGCCATTACACTTGCTACTCAGGTGGAATCTGCTGCGAATCAAGCTAAATCAATGGCAACAGACCACACTACTCCAGTACAGGCCATACAACAGCGTCCTCCTTACAAAAAGAAAAGTCAACAAAACAAACGTCCAAGTAAACCTCCAGATGCTACTGCTTCTTCCGCTCCTACGTGTTGTTTCAGGTGTGGCTCTGATAAACACCTGGCAAACTATCCACAGTGCCCAGCTGCCAAGGCAAAATGTAAGTCATGCTCCAAAATTGGCCATTTTGCTCGTGTCTGCCGTTCAGCTAAGACAAGTGATGTACATGAGATACACTTACCAAAAGTAACTGTACTGTATCTTAGAGATGCTAGCCATGCACCAAAGAAAATCCACTGTGATGTTACTGCATGCACTCCGACTTCTCCAAATGTGGATTTGAGCCTTGTTGTGGACTCTGGCTCTGCTGTGTCTATCCTGCCGTACCGCACCTATGAAAAATGCTTCAGTGATACTGCATTACAACCTCCTGCAATGCAACTCGTCACCTACACAAAGAGAAAGATCCCATTGCTGGGTTGCCTCGGTGTTAAAGTGAGCCGAGGAAACGTGTCCTCCACGGAAACTTTCTATGTAGTGAAAAGAGGAACACCCATACTGGGAAGAGACCTGATGAATGCGCTAAAAATATGCATCAAAGGTAACACTGTCCTGCCTCCACAAACTGCAGTGATGACTACTGACACTGCACCTACTCAAAACAGTGTTTCTCCTGAAATAGGCTGCGTGCAAAACTTTGTCCATAAGGTAAAACTTGACCCTACTGTCAAACCTGTGAGACAAAAACTGAGACGTTTACCTTTTGCTGTCAGATCTTCTGTTTCAGCTGAGCTTGATCGCTTACTGAATGCTGGTGTCATCGAGAGGATCGACGCATCACCCTGGGTTTCACCAATTGTTGTTACAGGACGCAAAACTGGTGGAATACGGATGTGTGCAGATCTCCGTGAACCAAATAAAGCTGTGATAATAGATTGCTACCCACTCCCACATGTAGACGAGCTATTCACAAACCTACATGGTGCCAAAGTGTTCTCTTCTATAGACTTGGCTAATGCATACTACCAACTACCCCTTCATGAAGATAGCAGAGATCTCACTGCTTTCATTACACATGATGGACTATTCAGATTTCGTAGAGTGCCCTACGGACTTGCATCTGCTCCTTCAGCCTTTCAAAAGATGATGGCTGAAATCCTCAAAGACATTCCTGGTGTCCAAAACTACTTGGATGATCTTATTGTTTATGGTAAAACTCTACAGGAACATGATCAAAACCTCCACACGGTTCTACACAAACTGAAAGAAGCTGGACTGGTGTTAAACGACAACAAGTGTAATTTCAGAAAACCTTCCCTGCGCTTCTTGGGACATGTCATTACTGCAGATGGCATCCTCCCTGACCAAGAGCACGTTGATGCTGTGACTAAAGCTCCGCCCCCCTCAGATGCTGTGACTCTAAGGTCATTCCTTGGACTTGTCTCATGGTATTCAAAATTCCTGCCCAACTTTGCCACAGTTGTAGCCCCCATGAGAGACTGTGCCAATAATAAAGACACATTCAAATGGTCATCTGAGGCACAAAACAGTTTTGAAGAAGTAAAACGACTCCTTGTAAACAGTCCCGCACTCACTCTGTTTGACCCTGCTTTACAAATTGTGATTTCAACAGATGCTAGTGACTATGGACTGGGAGGTGTTTTCACACAAGTTCAACCTGATGGAACTGAGAAACCTGTTGCTTTCGCCTCGCGCACACTTACCAGTACAGAACGCAAATACTCCACAGTTGAGAAAGAAGCACTTGCGTGTGTGTGGGCAACAGAAAAATGGAGAACATACCTCTGGGGACGACGCTTCATACTTCGTACTGACCACCAAGCTTTGGCAACTCTACTCAGCACCAAAGGCATGGGACGTGCTGGAATGCGCATTGCTCGTTGGTCTGCACGCTTGCTGTGTTTTGACTATGATGTTGTTTACAGACCAGGTACACAAAACTACACTGCTGACTGTCTTTCACGCCTTCCTTTGCCCTTGCCTGCAGACTTTACAACTGATGCTGAACCTGAAATGGTTGCTCACATATCTGCTGCACTGTCATCACTGCCAGTAACTGACTTTGATACAGCATGCGCTGCTTGCCCTGAACTGTCTGCCTTACGTGCACAGATTGATAAAGGTTGGCCTGCTACTATTAAGCCGCTTACTGAAATGCTTACACCTTACTACAAAATCAGAGATGAACTTTCAACTAAAGACAACTACATCCTACGTGGCTCCAGGCTGATTGCACCACTCTCTTTACGTCACAACTTGATCACACTTGCTCACGAGAGTCACCAAGGCATCGTTCGCACAAAACAACGCCTGCGAGACCTCTACTGGTGGCCTGGAATGGATTCACAAGTTCAAACTGCTATTGCGTCATGTGTCCTCTGTCAGTCCAATGATAAAACTGCATGTACACGCCCTGCTCCACTTCAACCTGTACCACTGCCGGATGGTCCATGGAAGAAACTTGGACTTGACACAGTTGGACCTTTTGAAACTGCAGCCTCCGACTGCCGTTTTGCGATTACACTCACTGATTACTATTCAAAGTGGCCTGAACTTGCTTTTTCACGTACTGCAACCACAGATGATGTTGTCCACTTTCTGTCTTCAGTTTTCAGTCGACATGGAGATCCAGAAAACATAGTAACAGACAATGGTACTCAATTCACCTCTGCAGCTTTTGCCTCCTTCCTCCAGTCACGAGGCATTTCTCACAGTAAAACATCTGTCTACTATCCAGCTGCAAATGGTGCTATTGAAAGATTTCATCGTGCACTTAGATCCTGCATTCAATCTGCTATTCAAGAGTCCCAACCATGGAAAGACACTGTTACTAACTGGCTTCAAATCTACCGTGCAACACCACATGCTACTACTGCTACTTCTCCTTATGAACTTATGTATGGACGCAAAATGCGCACTAAGTTAAACATTCTGCCCTTGCCAACTGCCACATCTGCCGTGGATGATAATGCTCGAAAGACTGTACGCAAGCGTCAAAACAAAATGCAACGCTACACTGATGCCAAACGTGGTGCACGGGAACCTTCTTTTCGACCTGGTGAGAGAGTGAGGGTAAGGAAACCTCAACATGTTCCAAAAGCACACCCCAGATTCACTCCTCCAGAGACTGTCGAGAGAAATGTGGGTACACATTCATTCTTGCTTAGTGATGGAAAAGTTTGGAATGCTACTCACCTTGCCCACTGTCCAGTCAGTGAAAAGGACTCCAACATTACTTGCCCCTTTGATAAAAGTGCCACTGAAACTACACCAAAACAACCACGTACTAAATACAAACCTACTTGGCACAATGACTATGTTATGCCTTAACATTTCTGATTCAGTTGTACTTTGCTAGTTTAAAAGAAAGTTACTTGGTTTTGCTTATGTTTACCTTAGCAATCTGTTTTACTTTGTTCATATTCACTGCCTAAGATACTATTGGTTACAGACTAAAAGTAAATTGGGTTTACTTAAATTTTACAGCTACATTGTGCTAAAGTGATACATTTCCAATTGTTTGCTAAATATACTGGACAATGTACTTTTTCTACAAGCAAGGAAATGTTGTGTTCTATGCTTATGCCGCTAGAGGGCGCAGCTACTCTATACGATGCTATGCACTGCCGAAGAAGAGAGAGTTTAAATAATGCGTTGATGTTGAACTGACTGCTGTAAACCTGCTCTGAAAAGTTCCTATATAAATCTACAAGTGATTTAAGATACTATGGGCTTCTTCATTCATACTACTACACCACAAAATGATTTATAACAGAGCGGTTAAAATCCTAGACAGGAAGCCCATTAGGTCACATCATTGTATCAGTCTGAGGAATTTAAACATTTTATCTTTTGAAAACTTTATTAAATTTTCCCAGCTGAAGCTGATGCACAAATGTTTGAACCAGCAAGGCCCACAGGTCTTGAGTGAGTGTAAAGTTCCTCTCAGGGCTGTGGGCTCAAGGACTAGAGGAGCTCAGAAAGGGAACTGTCAGATCCCGAAACGAAATACTTCATTTGGACAATCAGCTTTTTCCGTACAAGGCACTAAAGCCTGGAACTGTTTACCCACTGACCTGAAGGGAGAGTCAAACTGGGTCCCTTTCAAACACGAACTTAAAGACTCTTTAATCAGAGGTCAGAAATGTGACCACTGACCGTCTGCTCTGTTGTGTTTGTGTTGTACTGTATTATGATATGTGTTTTAATTATGTTTTAACCATGTATTGTTTAATTTTTATGTAAAGGCCCAACTAGGGACGGACATTGAGAATTAGCTTTGGCTAAAATGTTGTAGTATGTAACATGAGCTTATGTGACATACTTGTCCCTATTCAAATAAACTTAAATAAAAAAAAAAAAATGTAGCTTCAGTCGTGAGTCTACATTTCTGTTTGTTTGATTAAAGACTCAGGTATAATGCATGTCAAACAGCAGAGCCATGTGTCCAAATAACACAGTACTTTTTTTATTGTTCCAGTTCCGATGACTTACTGCAAGGAGCGTTCAAAGCCATCTGTCTGGACGCCTTTTTCTGGGTTAAACATCGCACACAAATCATAAAATCACACACGACCAAATCACTTCCAGGAGGTGATGATTCATGGTATTAGTTTTAGGGCAACTTTGACAAGAAGGGGAAAGTGTGGCAGGACATCAGGTGCTTTTGAATCCATAATTTAATTTATTGCAATATTGCATTACCTCGACACAGCTGTGTTTGACATATGAGCAAATCTGTGTCAACATAGATTTATTGCCACAAGTTATTTCAGAGTCACGATTTCCCCGCATACGCTCCGTGGTTCAGGCTATTTCTATCATTCCAGAAAGTATAGCAATTGTGCAGGCCTTAGATTTTAATTCAAGATGTGATGAAAACTCTTTGGCTCGCTGCATTTCCTTCTGTGTCCACTAGGGCGCAGTGTGTTATCTGAGCCCGCACTGGAGCGAAAGTTGGAAAAGTTTGCTGATTTTCCGAACTGATCATTTATCAAGTTTTTTTTTTTCTGTGCGTAAAGTAGGAACGTAATGTCACGGCCGTCTGACGCCACTCGTTCATTCTTTCATTCATCTCCTTCATCTGTGTGGAGCATAACGGAGAGCAGGGTTCAGTGCCGACGATGCGTGTACGTTGTGGGCAGAAAGATACATTAAACAGACAATGCGACACAAGAATAGATTTACCTGTGGAAGCTGCAAAGCTATGACTCAACTTCATAATGAATCATCAAATACCTCCTACAAAAGTCAACAATTTTCTTGCACTTCCATTCAATTTACTTTTGTGTAAACAGCAGACGTCCCTGAGGACTTTTCAAACGTTTCAATTCACAAACAAAACACAGGAATTTCAATAAAAACAAACACACAGAGCTATTGGTTCACAGAGCGGGATGACTACTGTCCATAAATGTTAATAAATGTGCATAAATATCCCATCATCACTGTCCTTAGACCTTCTCATTGGCAAAGAACAACTTGAAAACTCAGAAACCATGAAGAGGCCCACATTGAGAGGCTATAGATCCAGGACTCAGGCGGAAGGACCGGGGAGGCTCTCAGGTGGGGATCTGGGGTGTGCCGTCCATGAGTCCAGGCCCGGGGGAGACCAGTCCATAGGTGCAGATGAAAGAGGCCAGATTCAGGGGTCCCGTCATCACGCCACAGAACAGACAAAGGGACAGGGTGAATAGCAATGAACAGACTACAGCTGATGTAATAATGATGATGTTTAAAGTAGGAGAGAGGAGAGGGTCGTGCTCAAGTTCCTATACTTTTCCCAGCAAGATTTTATTTTGTTCATCCTCCTTTATATTTCAATATAATAAAAACAAAATAACGAATAAAGTCTACAGAAAAAAACAGCTAAAATATCTGTCTATGTCTGAAAATGGAATCAAAACACAGATTCGTGCTTGACTTTAATTCACTTACAAACGCTTTTTTTTCTCGATAATTATTTATATTTTAAGTGTTATTACATGTACTTATTTACATTATAATTTTATAAATACCAAAATCTAAATATATATGTTTTCTTTCCTCCAGAGGATTCTTTGTTATACTATAGCACCTATTTTTAAACTCAAGTGCGTCTTACTAATGGTTTATGCAACATTTTGACGCCCTTCTCCCATTCAAAAGAAACATGATTCTGTTTTAAATCGCACATAACGATATAATTGTTTCTCATTTCTCATCGTTGTGAAACCCACGGACAGACCAGCCACATTTCAGCACTGGACAGTTCCCACTCCGCGGCCTCATGACGTCAAACACTCTTCCAGCCGCTGTGGAATTAATAGTTATTGCATCTGACGCCTGCTCTCTTTTTTTTCATTTATATATTTATTCATAACTTGGCTCCTGGGATCGTTCATTGACGCGGGAGAAAGGTGTGCTCTGTGACGGGATGGGATCAGGGTGGGGGCGTGACGTCAGAGCACACCCCTCCATCTCTGACCACACCGCACGCGTGACAAGTGGATAAGGCAAGGCATCAGGGGCTTCGGGATTCGGAGATAAAAAAGCAAATGTGTAGCGCTGTGCAGTGGCTTTGATGACAGAGGAGGACACGGACACGAGTGAGAAGTGAAGAACCAAGCAGCGGGGCGCGCCTAGGGGTGCACTGTACATTGATCCAACAGAACCACAAAGTCCCTAAAGTCCTAAAGGAGATAGATCTGTCAGAGACGCCCGCACACCGGAGCAGAGCCATTGGAAGCGAGAGAGGGGCTGAGATAGACTTTCTATCTCACTCTCTTCCAGCCGCACTCCGGACCGCGCAGACGTCTGGCAACTGGTAAGAAAGCGCTCAAGAAGAAAGTGATTTTTTTTCCACTTCACACTAATTGAATAAATATACACAAATATATATGCATAGCTTATACATTTGTAAGACAAGTATTGAAGTTTGTAAATAGTCTCAAACCTTTCACCTGTGCTTCTTTACAGCAGGACAATGTCAAGTAAAGCGACTTTGGCTTTGCTTATCTATGGAATCTTAATGCATTACAGCGTTTACTGTTCACCAGTGGGGCTCAGCGATCCCAGCTTTAGGTGAGTACAAAATCATATCAATCACCTTATGTATATCATACAAGGGTTTTTTCGTTTTTCTTTTTCTTTTTTTGTGCGTGTGGCCCTGGTATTGATATTTAAGACATGAGTGAAAGGGAATCTGTACATCTACTGCTTTAGATTAATTAATATTGTGTAAGGGAGCATCACATTTAACTTACCCATTCCTGGTTTAGAAAATGTAGGAGGAAAGTGAAAATATTGATTGAATGATAAAGTGGGAAGAACAAAAAAATGAATACGTTGAATAATGTATGTTTTGAATGCGTCTATGTGTTTAGATTTGACAGTGAGTTTTACGATGAGGACGGGAACTCTTTGTCCCCGCTGGAGTTTGAGAGAGAAGATGTAGAAGTGAGGAGTGCTCCAGACGTAGACGACGTGTTCTCTCTGTTTTACCCAGCACAAGAAAGGTGAGCCCCTTTCTCCCGTTAGTCAGTGTACATGTCAAACATCTTCATCGGTATATTCTGTCCGTGTATCTTCTATGTTGTATGTTAAATATACATGTATTTAGTTACTAGCTTTACAATATGTCCCCCCCTCCCTTTTTTCCATGCTTATTAAACAGCCGATAGTTCTCTATAAATACGTTCCCAGGTGTCTTTGAGCGACAAAAATCCTGCAGAAACAAACTGAATAGTTACATTTTACATTTGTGACATAACATCTCTCACAAACTAAACTAATGTGTCTATATGCATACACATATATACATGTATACAAATATTTAAATGCATACACATATATTTAAATGGCATCTCACTTGATAGTTGTGTGACTTCTTGCGCTGGGTGTGCGGTGATGGTCTTACTGTGTGGCTGTCTGTCATGCAGAACGGAAAGGCATGCAGACGGCATGTTTAATAAAGCCTACAGGAAAGCGCTGGGTCAGTTATCAGCAAGAAAATATCTGCATTCTCTGGTGGCAAAGCGTGTAGGGTAAGAGCTCCTCTAACTGCTCCTCATCTTTTGTCTTATGTGTCTCTTTATTTTGGAATAATCTCCATCTGTACTGTGCATGTCTGTGCTCCCATTATCATCATTTGTAAACTGGCTTTGGGAAGAGTCTGTCTGAACTCATAAGCACAAATCTCATTAGAAAAAGGTAAAAACTGAAGACTTTGTGAGGGCAACTTGACTGCCTTTTTAAATGAGAAAAGTTTAAAATACATGGTCAAAAGGAAAGATTGTCACAGTGTGCTAACAGATTATTTTTAGTTAAAATGTGTTGTTTAATGAAGTGAGCTGCAGCCTTTCCTCTACACGTCTCTCTTTCTCTCTCTCCCAGCGTGGGGAAAACGTTCGACGACAGCGAGGAGCCTCTGTCCAAGAGGCATTCTGACGGCATCTTCACAGATAGCTACAGCCGCTACCGAAAGCAAATGGCTGTCAAGAAATACCTGGCTGCTGTCCTCGGGAAAAGGTACAGACAGAGAATTAGGAACAAAGGACGCAGACTGGCTTATTTGTAGCACCCCCAAAAACGACAGTGTGCCGCCCCACATCCCGTCATTCCCAAACCAATCGCTGGATCGCTTTTGTGTTTTCCAACTCCAACTTGTATTTATGTATGAAGTAAGCCATTAAAAAGAATATTTTGATAATACTATGTTTTTTAGTTTTGTATGTAAGCACTCGAGGATGCACAGATCTACTTTGGCTTTATTCATGTGTTCATTGAAATAGACTTAAGGAGAGAGTATTTTTCACATGCGCAGACTGCCCTGTCTTTTTAACACATAGTCATAGTCATGAGCAAAATAAATAGTCTAAAAAAGACAATCACTGTTTTGAATGATGCTTTCTGTATTGTGACATGATTAAGAGTTTAGTTGTCTCTATTCACAACAGCCTTGAAGACATAGGTTTTCATCATATCCTTCAAGACATAGACTTTGATGCCCTCCCGGACGGGGATGAGATTGAGGCTATTTTGGGAGACTGGCTGAAACAGTTTCCCCCCGTGTTGCCGGTGAGTCTCGTTGGGCGCCTCTCTCCATCTTGTCCCCTGTCAAAGGGTTGTCCGCTCCTCTCTTTCCCTCCTCGCCTTCAAGACTCCGCCTTGTGATCTACCAACAAACCCTGCACCAGTCCACCTCCGAAGTGCTCTTGTCCCCCCCCTCCCCGCTCTCACACTGGAGCCTACATTTACTGAAACCGCTTCTTCTGTTAATAGATCAAACTTAATTAACAGCTTATCCTGACTTGGCCAAATTGGAAGTAAAACATTTCAAACAAGAGCACTTCTGGGGTGTTTCATATTAATTCTTCTGCTCTTCTTACAACGTTGATTCCTGTAAAGTGCCAATCGTTGTGCGACCTCCTGATGGTGTCGTGGTGCGGTAAATCTCTTCTGGGCATGTCCATGTATTGAGTATCACATATTGAACACAAAAAAGTAACTGAGAGTGATACTGAGTACATGGTCACGTTCCATCTCCTGTTTCTTTTCCTTCATTCATTATTTTGAACATGTGTCTAAGCCTTCTGGGCCTATTGTGCTTCCTTTTGTCATGTGAATGGATGTGAATCATCGACTGCACGAGTATTTGCACTAAACCACTGCACCGCGTACAACAAGACAGTGTCATGGCCGCTCTTCTGTTACACTGCTGTTGAACATGGACATGAGCTTTTGCGAGCTGAATGTACTCATCATGTTTGTACTTTGTTACTTTGAACGAAGCTGTCACTGGATTTACAATGAGCAGCTTTTTATTTGTGATGATAAACTAGAAACTGTGATTCAGATGATGCAAGTAACAACAAAAGTGACCAATCAACACAAGATCAAACTCCAGTCTAGTTAGTTGCGCTTGAAAGTCTGTTTTGTTTCTGTCTTCAGTCCCTGGTGTGAACATTACTCATGCATCGGAGCCACTTTTCCATGAACGAAGCTGCACTTTGAGTCCTGTTTGTATCATACTTGTTTTCATTGTGCATTCTCCTCTAGGCGTTGTGACGCAGGAAGAAAGTTGTGGCTGTGGTGCCTTGCATCGACTCTTAATCGCCTGAATCACAGACGGCTCTTTAGTAGCCCTACAATGCTGCACATCATCAGCCCACATTTCACCTCTTGTTCTGTTTGCTTTATACGTCGCACAAATGTCTGGTAGAATGTGTAGTTCCACTCAGCTTTGGTCTCAAGCGGCTGCGCCTGCATGCTTTCATTTGCACCTTGCACCCAACATCGACGTGGACAAAAAGGATCCCAGAGAGACCTTTTCTGTATTCAAATGCCAATAGCCTTACAAATCTATAAAGACAGTTTCTGTGGGAATATTAGGTTAACATGAACGGTAATCTGTAAAGGTTCACTAAATAAATGTTTGAAAAACGTGTTGTAAGATTTGTATGAATAAATTTTTGTAAACAACTCAAACATTTGCATAATTATTGAAGTTAGACCAGTGTACTTATAATATGATGTACTCATAATATGATGTACTTATAGTATGATGTACTTATAGTATGATGTACTTATAGTTTGATGTACAGATAGTATGATGTGAAGAAAACATGAAAACATAGCTGTTTATTGCTTATCCCTGATGAGCGATTATGGGTCACACATCATAAGCTCCGTGTGAACAATCTAAAGCCTATGTCGGATCGTTTTAATGATGGTCCATCCATGTTAGTTAAAGACAGTATTGACTAAGAAGCAAAGAGTGTAAAACCCTGATCAGACAAAGTGTGTGTGACTCAGTGCTTTGGCCGCAGCACAGGACACCATTTGGCCTGGTGTCTACCTCCCCACGGGACTCGCCGCACTTTACACCTCTGCGGGACACGAGGCCGGACTGGCGAACAGTTGGCCCCAACTCAACTCCACTGAAGGATCCTGCCAAAGACAATGTGGCTGTTCTAACAGAGCTGGGCACTCAGAGCAGCACTTATATATGGATGAAACTCATGAATATGTTTCATGTCAGTTAGAATGTTCTAGCAGCAGACTGACAGCCCACATCTGTTTGACTCAGAGTCAGGACTAGGACTGAATGCACCAGACCAACATGGATCAGAACAATGGCCTTCATATAATTAAAGCTTCTAGAGCATTTTGTTTTTTAAATTAAGGATTATTTTGGCGTTTGAGTTTACGCCGTCAGCAAATCAGATAAGAAAATTCATTTCACCGAACTCAACAGAATCTAGAAAGACTACAGGTCTCTATACTGTAAATAAAACAGTCAAATCAAATTGTTGCAATTAGTAAATATTCAAGTTATCATGAATAACTCATAGGATATGTACTGCCAACTCTGCAGTAAAACAACTGTCCATGTTACACACGCTCAGGCTCTGGACCCACCTCCTCCAGAGGTTGCTCTGGCTCATTGTTCCCACATCAGCTGCCACGTGTCGTCTCACTGTTGAACACTGGGTAAAAGACGGGCAGAGCTGTCGACTGAGACTCTCCATTTGGTGATCAGAGGATCATGGGAGATAGCCCAACATGTGCTTTGTGGATCTGGAGAAGGCGTTGAATCTTAGTCTCAGAGGTGTCCTTTGGTGGGGCTTCTCCAGCAGTAGCTGAGCATGATGTGCTGCTCCAGGGCTGCCCTGTCTCACTGTTCTGCCCCAGGGCCAGAGGGAGTCCATAGGGTTTCATCTCTGCTATTAGCACAATCAGGTCTAACCCCAGTGCAGTTGTGAATGTGCTTCAGGTCAGATACTGTAGATACACAATCGTTTTCACAGCTTTTGCCACGTCCACATTTTGTCGACAAATTGATGCAAATAATGTGTTTTTATTTAACTAGAAAAAAACTACAAAGACGACTCGGAATCCCATCTATAGAAGCAGAGAGTGATGTAAGTTCCAGGTGTGAGGGCGGCGCACACAAAGCCCTCAGTCACTCCCTCCTCTCAGACAACATGGCAGGGCTTTGATTTGGTGGCCGTGGCCTCAGCTCTTGGAGGAGCCACGCAGAACATGATCAATGGGAGTGATCTGATTGCTGCGGCCCGCACTAGACCCTTTTCTAACCCCACTAACCCAATCATGCACGGTTACCAGGCAACCGCTCCCAGCACCATGTGTCAAGGCACCCGCAGCATCACAGAGGATGTGTTTCACTCAGGGGCCTTTGGTCATAGTTATTGTCCATTGTGAAGACACGGCTAGATTAATGTATAAAGTAAAAATACAAAAAATGTCCACAGCTTTATACATTTTAATAATAGACAATATTATTATTATACGTTCTTGATTGCAAATATGCATGAAATAAAATTAAAATCCGTAAAAGGTGGATGTAGATATATGGGCTGGGGACTTGTGCTTCACTGCAAGAAAGTCCTGGGTTCGATTCCACCTTCAGACGTGGCCTTTCTGTGAGGAGTTTACATGTTCTCCCGTGCCTGTGTAGGTTTTCTCCAGGTGCTCCGGTTTCCCCTACTACTAAAAAATTGTACAACTGATGAATGAGTGTTTGTGAGATTGACTGTGGGACTACAGATCAAAATTAGGTGTGTTTACAGTTACTGCTGTTCATTGATAGACACTGTCCTATGAACTTTGTGAATACTGCAAATTATAATCATTAATTCATGTTTATAAGCTTGAAATAATTACCTGAATAACTTCCAAAAGCTGCTGTGTGACATTCTTGTGCATTTTACAGTTAAAACACATTCACTATGGATCAGAATGGGTTCATTGACGTCCTGAACTGAGAGAACCCACTTCTTTATTATATCACTTTATTACAACAGGCAGAAGATTTTCATTAACTTTCTTCACTGGTGAAAAACCGCTACAAGAAAAGATGCATCACCGAGAATAATGGTGCTTTGAAAATCACCGAACAAACTTTTTGAGATCTCAAGCCTCAAAAGCGACTATTCAGGACATTTCTAAAACTTGCATAAATCAAATCCAAGAACAGATTTATACGGTCAACAGGACAGTTATGATTGAAAGCTCTTTATAGTGAAATTAGCATTATATGTTGACTTTAACCCCGTACAACCCAGACATAGAAATTCTCTTTTTGGAAAGCAGCATACAATGACCAAATTTGGTAATGTGGCATATTGGTTTCTTTGGGTTCTTGGGTTCTCACCATAGACTGTAAGACATTAGCTAATGCATGATTAGTTAATTAATAACTTATTTCGCCACAACCGTTGAACTTTACGTTGCATATTTGACATTCTGACATTCAAACACAGAGCGGGAAAAACACACTGTGCTTTACATCCAGTATTTTAAACTCCTTTGACTGTCAGCTTGGAGAATCCACAGGAAGAACCATTCGTCACAGCGCCCTCTGTGGTGGTTTCCATGTACTGCAACACAGAGCAAAAGTTCAGTATTTTAAAAAGCCAAGAGGATGTATCTATCTGCATCTTCTTGGACATGTGCAAATGTATTCTAGATTTATTCCACTATTTCACCAGAGGAGCTCAGAAAGGCTTAGTTTGGAAAGGCAGCTGCTAATGCTGTTTTAACCACAGTCCTCCCTGACAAAAACACATACACAAAAGATATCGTTGCTGCATTTTTTTTCTTGGTTGCATCCAAGGAGACAAGTCATGGGACAGAGCACGACCAGCTCAGGCTCTCTCAGGACAGGTCTAAAGCCTTTTGATAGTACAAGACACACCTTATATACAGATACCAAAAGAGGAACCAAACAGAACAAAAGACACTCCATATTAGCGTATACAAAGCCTGCTTCCTCCTGGTGTTTAACGTACGAGCCCCCCCGACTTCCTGGAGCCTTTCTGTATACAATATATCTAACTATTAAATGATATGTTATCATGATAATAAATGATAACTTCCAATGACAAGTGCACAGCAGGAAGCCAGTACTAATAATAGTGGATTTCTTCAGACGTCTCACAACAAACTACAGAGTGTGTTAAGACTTGGTTTTTTCAAATCATTAACATTTGATTTGACAGAAACCGAGGTAGATAAATGACAAAAACATTAATAAAAGTAGCTATTCTTCCGAAAACAACTATTTAAAAACTTTATGGCTAATAGCGCATGAGCATTCTAGATATTTTCCCCGTCACAGTTAAACTAAGAGAAGAAGAAATGCTGCTGCTCAAAGGCTTAAATTACAATCATAAGTTAAAGTCCCAAATATGAAGTGAGGGTCCAATACGAATATGGGTCCAATAGTCCAGTCACAACTTTAAATGTTGTTGTGGCTCATTATTTATACGACAACAGTGAAATGGCAGTTATAAATCAGATCCAAGTCCTGATCAAAACAAAACCAGGATTAATCTATCTCACTTTTGCTGATGTGGATACACCTGTCGGCCGTTGCTGTGTGTCACCCATACAGATAAATCATACAGTAGACCATTCATTTATTAAAAGCACAAGCTATTACTCATCTGGGTTTAGCTTTTCTATACAACAGAAGTTTGGGCTTGTGGTGCCGTTAATAAATTCAGTCCAATTTGGAGTCAGTTTCCCTTCTGTGAAAAGTGAATGTGACATCATCACACAATGTACATTCACTCCTCATGACCCGCTCAGGTCAGCTGTCACTCCCCAGCCTCGCTCAGCAGTGACATCACTGCTCTGCATTGAAGCATCAGTGCTGTGTCAACCAAGTTCAGAACTAAACTGGATGCCCATCTCCTTCTTAGTGGTGTTTTTTATCCAACTGGGCCATCAAAGCTCCAGAACTGGTGCCTATGCTCCGAGGGATAGAGATCTCAAATTCTGCAATATATCTCCCTCATCCCTGTAAAGCAAAGAAATACCATAATACATTTTCATTAGTATTTTTTTAAATCTAGGTTCAAGAAAAAATGACAAAATGGAAATGGATATACACAATTTATTTTGTATCTCCCTAAATCACAACAGCAGTTGTCTTGGAAGATTTTTTTCAAAGTTGTTGATTTAGAGAATCAAACAGTTCAACACAGATACAACAAACACATTGGAGTTCACGTGGAGCGGGATGACCACTGACCACTGTA